ACCTTTTTCTTATGTATTTAACTGGCTGGTCTGGCTGTTTCCCATGCCAACTGTGGGAAACCTCGGTTCACTGTTCATACCACCTGTTGTGGGCCAAGTCACATCTTTTGTGGGATCGTTGGGGGTGGCGTCGATTATATATGAGCTGGTTGACCTGTTTGTACCCCCAGCGGTCATTCATGTCATAACATTTTTGTTTACAATACAATCTGCGTATTGGTTTCTCTTTCTGCTGGTGCTATCATTTTTGTTGGGCCTGGTCATTGGCAGAACAGTTACTAATATTTGTCAGAGTGCTAAACAATTTTGATTAGAACAAATGTCGTTTTGAGTACCCGCCTTGTGTACTTTGAGAGCCTCTGTGGCACAGTGCAGGGGGAGAATTCAGGGCTCTGGGGCAGGAGTGCGCTGCCTGGGGCCTCGGGCATCACATGGGCACCTTCAGCCTGGGAGCATGGAAACGATGGTTACGTCACTGTAACCCAAACACTCTGATCTCGGTGCCTGTGAGACTGCTCGTCTCACTCTTCACCTCATTCTACACCTTTGACAGCAGGTAGCTTATCCCTCCATGCGAACAGGCCTGCTCTGCTCTGTGCCTGCCTCGGGGCAGGAGCAAGGGCAAGGAACTTACTTCGGAGGAAGTCACATGCTCTGAATTTACATCCTCACTTACCCCAGAGCCACCCCAGGCATGCCACACTGCCGCACAGCATTTCAGACCTTGCAGCATTAGGATATGGAGGAGCTTTGTACTTGGGTACCAAAACTGTAGTTTAGTTACACAAAACCACATCCACATAATCACTCTGATTCAACTGGCAAATTGGTGCTGGGGTTTAGTTTAAATCGATTTTGTTTCCCCACATTGAGTCTGTCTTCTGCCTGTGACCGTAACTGCTGAGTGGGCCCTCCCTGTCCTTTCAACCCTTGAGCCTTTTCTTTTATTTTCTCCTCCCCATCCCACTGGCAGGGGTAAGGGTGACCAAGAGGCTGTGTGGTGATTTGTTGCTGGTTGGGTGGGCTAAAACCAAGATAATGTGGTGGTCCACCACTCTTAAAATTTTACCTATAAAAGGAATCTTATTACAATAAGCATTTCATTATTAATCTGAAGACCAATAATGTGACATTATTGACTACCCACATCACAGACATCTCTTAATATTGTCCATAAGTGTATGAATAAAAACAGCATTCTTGCTCTGTTAACAGTAAGATTAAGATGTGGTAGCAATAATAAAACATAACTGAGTTCCCACAATTCATTAAAGTTTAAATAACTTCCATCTTCATCTTTATACTGTGGTTACTGCTGCATGCGATGTCTGCCAGCAGTGACATACAAGGACCACTCAAGCCAGTGGAAATCCTCCACGTGCCTTGAATTGTTTTCTGATGTAAAACTTCACAGTAAGAGTTAACTAAAGGTGTGCTTAGACTTGTACAAAGCAAAAGATTTTTGGGACTGTTTAGTCTGGAGAAGAGGTTGAGGGGAGACCTTATTGCTCTCTACCACTACCTGAAAGGATGTTGTAGTGAGGTGTGTGTTGGTCTCTCCTCCCAAGTAACTAGCAATAGGATGGGAGGAAATGAGCTTAAGTTGTGCCAGGGGAAAATCAGATTGGATATTAGG